GACAGAGAGACGAAGAAAAGCCGAGAGCATGAGTGTGTTGGTGAGTTGTTTTTGAAAGTAGGAAAGCCAGGGGGAGCGAGGAGGCGGAGGAGGGCAAGGTTTGGAAGGGATTCCACACAAGGTTGTCATGGAGATGGAAACGGGAGACTGGAGCCTCACAATTCCCAATTAGTCACAAACACATGGTCACAAACACACACACACACCTGCAGATAGCGCGCACACACACACACCTGCATAATACACTTTCCAACTGACTTCGTAAACTCACTCTTACACACACTTGGTAAGATGCCACACACACAAACACACAAATTCATGCCAAGTGCTGGGAAATCTCACCTGCCTCACCTGTTTGTGACACAGTGATTGTTATCTGTGCTCTGTCTGTCTATAGTCACGGCTGTAGCACTACTAAGAAAAAGATATACTTTAGTTTTCATTCAATAAGCTTGATTTAAAGTTTAAAGTTAACAGGTTTTACGGTAGCTATGGAGCTGACGCCTGTAACCGCCATGAGGCTTGTTGGATATCACAAGAGTATCACAAGAACTGTGATTGGCTGCTTGTTTTTTCTCCCATGTGTCCGATGCAGGTGGAGATGGCTGATTGAAGGAAATGATAAAGGCTATTACGCTACGACCCACAATGCAACAAGAATGCTGACTAATGCAGCCTCACGCCTCAAGCAGAGATGAGCAGCGGGCAGCAAGATCATTTCTATCTCTACGACTCCAGATTTGTTAAAACTTGACTTCAGTCCCAACCGACTCTGGCTCAAGTGACATCACTTGAGGACATTTATCAGGCACATCTCCCTCCGGAGACACCAAAGACTTTATACAACTTTGTTTCCTGTAGTAGTACTCCCCAAGGCAATGAGTGGAGTTCCCCTTTAAAGGGCTAGTTTGGTAATTTGGATTTATCAAAGTCACACAAAAACACAAACAAACCAAAAAAAACGATCGATGCAGCGGTAGACCAGCGACTCCTGTGCTTTTTGGAGTAAAGTTACTGTTTTTGTCAAAGGAGTCTTGTGGCTTTTAAGAGAGCACAGATAGCGGATTTAGTTTCTGTATGTTTTGCACAGCAGTACATTGCTTTGCGACAGACATCTATTGTAGGTAATACGCTGACTATGGACAAATACTGTGTATAAAACAACTTTAAAAAATCCAAAATATCCCTTTAAGAAAGTTGAAGAAAGAGTCGTTCTTCTGCTTTTCATCACAGTGAATGAATGAACACGAGTCTCCTGTTCAGTAATGAGAGAAGGCGAAACTGAAGGTTTACTGCATGTGATTCCACTTATTTAAGTATGTGCATAGTCCACCCTCCCTCTGTAGGCTCTATAAAGTGAAGTGAAGAAGTTACTGTGGGGAATACAATCAAAGCAGGACATGACCTGATCACATCCAATAATATGCATCTAATGTTGGGGCGTTATCAATGGCTGAAAGCTGAACTATCAATCAAAACCTATGCCGTGGGTCTATATGACTGGACTCCCATTAACCCCTTGTGACAAGCATAAATCAATCCTGAGGCGGAGCGAAGGACATGATGAAAAGAGGATTCACAACCAACAAGTTCTCACTCACAACTTACTGACGCTTGGTCAGTGGCAATGTTGACCTGGTTTCACACAGGACATAAACAGTGCCCTGGGTGAGAATCCTGTGTTTGTTTGACCTATTAAACCTCCACTCCGCCCTACGTTGACTTTTTTGCTCATTATATTATGTCAGCTGCTCTGATCGTCTAATAATGACGCTGGAGTTAGTTGAAAGCCTGGTGTGTCTCATACAGGCACTAAAGGGTGCATCGGTATCAGACCCCGAAGGCCACTGACTAACTTTCTGTATTTTGAAATAACAGGTAGACACACGCATTAATAATGATAAAGCAGGTACAACATGATCGCCACAAGAGAACATTGGTATTGGACGTTTCAGCAAAACCCTGGATTATGTTCAATGACAATGAACATTTGAAATCTTGTTGTCTACAAATCAACAACTCAGGACCCATGAAAATCAGAACAGTATGGTTATGGTCTGGTAACATACAGATCTTGGTTATGGATCATAAAAACATAAACTACAGGTCTATGGTGCAACATGAGCCAACATCTTCTGCAAGAAAGATGGATATGCTAGGTACCCATCCAACACCCCAGCCTCCACACCTTTACTCTACACCTGGCTACGTAAAGGACTCACAACTGAACATGGATTAGTGGTAATGGTCATTTATAGGATATTGGGCTGCCCTAAAATGTCCGATCCAGTTCATTCATGTCATGTTTTGGAGGGCAAGGAATGGGCCCCACATAATTTTTCTAAATGTTCAAAAAAACATATGTTTTCTATCATAAACTATTTCAGCCATACATCTTCCAAAACAGCGTGTGTGCAGTCTCAGATAAGTCAATGCCCAGTAAGGATGGAGTTGTACAGCATTGAATGAATCCGAATCCAGTTCTGAATCTGCGTCTTGAATCAGCATCCCTTTGAATCCTCCACCGAATCATTTTAGGAAGTTTGGTGACCCGACGTCCACCGTAGGGACATTTTTTGTTTTGTTGTAAACCCATTTTACAAAGAAGACATCAAATGTATCTGCTGACCAATATCACGGCCAAGGCGATTCAAAGCTCCAAACGAGCAACCAAGTGGATCTCATAGTTGTGATTATTTCAACAGCTGAATAGCTACGTCGATGTCAGTAGTGTACTGAGAGCTCTTGAGTTCAACTTGCTTCCTCCATCCCACCTACTGCTGACAGTGGCTTCACTCACCAGTGGAAAAAAACACAGAGCCCAGCACGGCCGCCAGGAACCACCAACACATCCCAAGTTCAGACACTTCTGGGCCGATTATATGCAAACACACCAGTAATCAATGACATGTGTGTTTCAGCTTCTATATGTGATTATAATAAAGCAAACAACTGCCAATATTTGAATGTAGATTCAGGAAACACTGCTTATTCTTTATTCATGAACAAATAAATCTTTCCATAATTCAGTCCTTAATGACACGGCTTACTATGCTGTATGACTTCACGTGCCGGGCTAAACGAATGGATTCATCTGCCACATCACTGAAGCCAACTTTGGATGAAGTGGAGCAGACTCGGCCACAGCACGGCCCTTGTAGTCTCGGGGAGCGCCGCCGTTAACAAAGACTCTGGAGGACAGCAAAAGAAGAGATCTATTTTCGCCAGACCAACAAAGATCTTCCTCATTCTCCCGCAGCTCCAAAGTAATTCTGTGTGCCATTGTGGCCGAATCAATACCCGTGTATGGGGACATGTCTTCAGCACAATCCTCTGAAAGGAGGGCCAGGCTTCTCAAAAGCTGGGCTTTAAAGAAGACACAAGGAGCATTTCATTAGCGGTTAGCTGGACCTATAATAATGTTGTCTTTGATTGAGTCGGACTAGTTTAGCAGCGAAGGAATATGTCTGAAATAGTAGCAGTTTCATGAAGGAAAAGGTGACGCCTGCACAATACTACATGCAACACTTTTATTGACTACATTACGATTCTACTTGGATCTTCGACAGGTCAAAATGTTAGAGAAAAAAAAGCTACACCCGTATTCACACATTATGCACACCAGTCGGCAAACAAGCTCTATGTCAGGTGTGATTGGATTTTAAAAAGTGTGATATGTGCATATCTTTTTTAACTTGAAGAAGTTGCAATTGCAATGCATTTTCATAATCATGGAGTCAATAAAGATATGCCCAATATGATACAAAATACAAAGTTATGAGTGAACAGAAGGTACACAATCACCATTATGAACTCAAGATTTAGGCCGACAGATTAAAATATAAATTTTGTTGTGACCTTTTGGATTACCACACAGGCAGAGTGGGCTACTGCCCCAGGACCCAGACCCTTAAAGACCTCATTATCTGCAGATATCTGGTGTAGAGGGACTCTGTGTCTGTCTAGTTTTAAAACTGGTAATTAAACTGGTGTGTTTCTGGGCCTCTGGGCAAAAATATAACGAAGCTGCCAGTTGTTCCCACTGTACCTGACTAGCACGCAAAAACACATTGTATACATACTGTTGAATGGGAGGAAGTGAAGGTCAACAAGGGACTTATTAAAAGGGGGTTAATCTGGCCCCAAAATAAAGACATCTGTATGTATTTGTGGTGGTCTACATTACATTAGACACAGGATATATATTTGTTAATGAAAGTAGCACTTTTGTTATTCTTCAATATAGGCCTGTGATTGTTGTTTCTCTGGAAAAGCAAACTAAAAACAATTATTTCATCAAGCTCACTTTCTATGTACATTTGCAATAAAGAAAAAGCCCCTTCGAATTGATGTGTGCTTCATTCATGGTCTTCCTGAAATTCTTCTTTTTTTAAAATAATTTTGTTTATGTAGCTTTTTATGCAAATTGCAATGTGATTTTATCAATATAAGAAGTAATATTCAATGTTATTTTACTTGTTATATCTGTAGTTGTTTAACTCGTATTTATTTAACTAGTATTTATATAACTTGTGTGTTGTATGTCTCATGCAGTACATGAACAGAATAAATACACTAGACTTAAAAAAGACAGATACAGGCAGTTTGAACTGGTTTTTTGTTTTTTGAAAAGTAGCCTCCGTGTGTGTGTGTGTGTGTGTGTGTGTGTGTGTCTGTGCGCATGTGTAGTGTTTAGACCCAATCGAAGCAGTGATTTTACTCTCTTTTCGCAGAGAACTTTGATGAAACGCTCTTATTCAAACGTGAACAATCTGATCAGCTAACTGATAACAGGCTAATTGAATATTGAGATACTTGTCTCCGCGGAATGCCTCCCCTCTCCCCGCCGCCGTCATCAACAAGTGTCTCGCGCACCCTCGGAGCCCTTTCAGTTGCAAATTGCATGCATGCACGCACGCACGCACGCACGCACGCGGAAGCTCCTCGCCCTCCAATTGGTCCGCACCCGGCCACTGCACGAGAACAGGGCAACTTTTGCAGTGCACGGGCAGCTGAGTTCAGTGTGTGAATTGGCCGACTGACAACAAGTGGTTTTCCGCAGAGAACTATTTCACAGCACCGAGGAGAGGCAGCAGCGAATTTTGTGAACACCGTCCCCGTGTTTCAGTATCAAAGTAATGACTGACGCAAACAAACTTTTAATTTAACAGAAAAATAGAACTGCTCGTCCGTTGCGGTTGTTTGGTGGCCCCGGTTCGTCGTGAGTAATTAGTTAATTCGCATCACCCGGTGAAATCTGCAGGGAAACCTGGCAACAAGTCGTCAGGTGGACGGCGACAAAGAGGCTGCTGTGCGACTGCGTTTCAACTCTTCAGTAAGTCGTGACAACTTTGCTACATCTGTCCCAACATGTACAGCATGATGGAACACGAGCTGAAGCCGACCGGCCAGCCCCAGTCTCACCAGACCTCCCAGGGAATGTCACCGGTCACCGGCAACATGACCGGGGGCATGGGCGGCAATGGCAACTCTCACCCGGGCTCCAAAACGGCATGCGCCCCCGGAGTCGACCCCATGGATAAAGTCAAGCGGCCCATGAACGCCTTTATGGTCTGGTCTAGGGGACAGAGGCGCAAGATGGCTCAGGAAAACCCCAAAATGCACAACTCCGAAATCAGCAAGCGGCTGGGAGCCGAGTGGAAGCTGCTGACCGACGCTGAGAAGCGGCCTTTCATCGACGAGGCCAAGCGGCTGCGGGCGGTCCACATGAAGGACTACCCCGACTACAAGTACAAGCCACGCCGCAAGACCAAGCCCATGCTCAAGAAGGACACTCAGGTGGGCAAGTATCCGCTGTCGGCAGGTAGCCTGCTGGCGGCGGCACAAGGCCAAGGTGGTAGTCCGAGGATGGACAGCTACGGCTGGGGCCCCACCGGGGGGTACGCCGGCATGCAGAGCGAGGCGCTCGGCTACACGCAGCAGCTCCACCGGTACGACCTGTCAGCTCTCCAGTACCCGCCCTCCATGTCAGCGGCGCAGACGTACATGAACGGAGCCAACTCTTACAGGTGAGTTGTGTCGCTGTAGCTCTGCACAATAAACTTCCAACATGTGTTTTAGTCACGTCACTTGCTGGAGACAGGGCAGTGGAAATAACCAAAGTGCGGCAGAAACTTCAAATTGTGATTTTTTTATATTATCTTTAATACTTTAAGAAGTCAGTATTTGAAATTGAACTAAGCGCTGTAGAAAATGAGATTCAAGGTCTCCAACATGCGCAGTAGGCCGGATCCACCTGCGTAAGACACAATATGGCGTTTGTTCGTTCTTTTTTTTTTTTAATCAGTTTTATTAAAATGTACTATTTATTGAGGCACTAAACACTGCCAACACACAGTATAGCATGGGACCTGATGATGGCCTCCTTCAAAAACAAAATAAGTTTGATGAAATGGGGGGGCGGGAAGTTTTAAATGCCAATCAGTGGATTATCTTCAGTCTAGTGGGCGAGCATGCGCAGTGAACTAAGGCGTTTAAATAATGCATTTTTATTTAACTCTTCAATTCAATTGAGTGGTCAGCCTTATTATTTGTGACTCCATGCAAGTACACTTTCCAAACTTAAACGTGTCCACACACACCTGTTCCATACACAAGAGTATGTGACTATAAATTAAACTTAGAACAAACAGTAAAACATGCACTTCTGTTTTGATAATTCACCTTAATTGTTTTATTTGAATGAATGTTAAATACTTTACAAAATAAGAAAATGAATATAATGATAAATAGTGTGAAAATACAGCTCCAACCTACAGAGTGCACTTTAAAAATGTGTGACTTTAATCAGGTAGAAGTGTTGGGATAAAGTGCATTCAGGCCCATTGAGTCACTGAGGAGCTGTGGCTGCGATGGAACAACAGGCTTCAGTCTGCTGCCTACTTGTTATGCGTGTGACGCTCTGCTCTGGGCTGGGTCCTGCCTGGAATGTTGATCAGGGTGACTTGACGGTAGGAAGGGCTGCTCTGTGTGTGGTCCTCTACCCACAATCCCCTATTCCTGTTCCACCATTGTCCCAGTTACACTTCTGGGTCTCTGCCTCCTGCCTTACGGGTCCAACACCCCC